CTGTTTTCTATGACACATATGGCACACGACAATTTCTCATTCTAAGAAAAGAAGAAAAAGGAGGGCAGTGAACTACAATAATTAAAATACTTGCAGCAAGAATCAAAGAAATCAGTGGAACTGAGTAGTGTACACGCTAGAATCCAGCTCATGATAAATATGGCTGATCACATTAGGATAGCAAAAAATGATTATTAAACAAATGACTTTAGTCAACTGACTATCCCCACCTGAAAAGATATATGCAAAATATCCTGACTGTATTAAACACTTAGATATAAAGCTTAAAAAAAAAAACAGTAGCGGAAAAAAATATGCATATACACACAAAAGTTTAACATTCTCTAATATTAGAATGAGGAATAATCTTCTAATCATAATACCAAGCCAGAAAGCATTAAAAGACAGACAGATTTGAATACGTTTTTTAAAAAGTAAAATTCTATATGGCAAAAAGTACCAATAAAACACTAAAAATGTGTAACAAATTTCATATATGACAGGCAAAAGAATAATGTCATATACGTATGTATTGATACAAAGTTCTCACAAGACAAAAAGAAAAAGACAATTCTCAGAAGAAAAATATGCAGAAGACAAAAACAGGCTTTTCATAAATAAGAAATTAACAAATGGCCAGTATTAAAAGATACTTTAACTCACCAATAAAGAAATTCAAAGTAAAATAGGACTTTTGTTTTCAACAAATTATATATTACATTGGCAAAATGGTGACAGTGTCTGCATTGGTGAAGGTTCACAGAAAGGGGCATTTTTGCATGCAATTGGTAGAAATTGAGTACAACATTTCCAGATGACAAGTTTTATCAATATTTAAAATATATACCACATTATAACTTTATAATGAGAGATATTTCCATTTTGATATATTTTTAAAAAAGGAAATAAAGAAAGAAACCCAGTTTTGTATTAAACAAGTTCATCTCTCCTATGCCAGGCTCTAAATTATCAACTTACACCCATCTCAACACCCTGTCTGGCCTTGTCTCCAGTAAACAATGCTCCTAATCCTCCTCTAAGCTCAGTCCAGCCCCTGAGGTAAATCCCTCTCCCACCTACGCTCTTCTTCGCTCTCTCAAACGGGCATAACCTTGAGAACTTTGCTTTTAGCCCTGCTTTCTCTTCTCTCAACTTCCAGGTTTTAGACCAAGATTTCACTTGCAATTCCAGCCACCAGTCACATGCACACTTTGAATTCTACTTCTACCCATTCACACTCATGTTTTAAAGTTTTCTCATTTTTCAGCAATATTATATGGCTGCCAAATTAACAGCACCATGTTGAGGAACAGCTCAAAATTTTAAAAGCACCCCCACAGTACTCAATATTCACTATTCCTTACTAGTGTTTTCTGTTCAGTACTAGACTCGATCATCTAAGGTGGAAAGGACTGAGAGAGAGTTTACCAGATAACCAAGAAGACAATTTGAAGGTTACAGATTATGGGTAAAGCGGAAATTGCCTTCCCTTAGAAAGAAAAGGCTGATAAGACATAACATGGTTCTCAAGGCATATGAAAAATTGAGCATAAATTGATGAGTCACTTTTCTCCATCTCCAGTTAAAGTCTGAAGGGGGTAACTGGTCTAAGCTTTTGGCTACATACAGTAATCCCCACTTAACTCACAAACATTCCTAAAACGAGTCCAGAAAGGCAAAGCGGACCATTGCCCTGCATTCATTATCATGGTTGGAATGACCACACTGGCTCTAAGACTGATGTTATCTACCACCAGATAACATTGACTATCTTGCTGAGGTGAATTCTGACTGAATTACATTTGACAAGACAGATGAATGGCAAATCTTATGTTATATATATTTTACCAACGAAAATATATGAAAACTCCTAGACATATACAAAGATGGGCTGGTTATTAAGCTAAAACTGTTTAAGCCATGTTTTGGACTGTATGTATGGATTGGCAATAAAAAAAGTACCAAAAAGACTAGGCTCCAGAGGTGAGAGCGAGAGCCACTTCACAATGAGAGCTACCATGACCAACGAGGATGGCAGGGATGACTCTCTCTGAAGGTCTGAAATTAGGAAAAATAATAAAAATGACTGCCATTTATTGAGCCCCTCCTTTCTGCCAGAACTGTGCTCCGTACATGTAAATGTGCTATATCATCTAACTCTCACATCTAACCCCACGAAGAGGTGTTGGTATTCCTGTCCTTTATGGATGCAGATACTAGGGCTCAGAGAGGCACAATCTTATCACAACACAAATACGAGGTGAAACAAAGATTTGAGAGGAGCTCTACCTAACTCCACAGCCCATTATTTTTCTACTACACAATTCTGATTCATATGTGGTTTAGCCTAAACTCAAGAGAGAGGATGGGGTAATCTCAGATTTCCCATTCATCAGGTATTATTTTTGTGAATGTATTAGATGTAATCTTTCATCAATACATGACACTTACATTCTTCAGGAATAACCTCCAAATTCAGTTTCCTGAAGAAAAAACAAAGTAACCTTTGCAAAGAATTCAGAACCATTTACCATTACAGAGAATTTTCCAGCATTCATATATGTATTAATGAATACATAGATTAAAAAGTCCCAAGGAATATATGTACATATTAATGTTCGATCAATCTCTCTTCATTAGATAGTCATTGCCTTGACACCATGAAACCTATGCTAACATTTATAGATTACCTACTGCATACAAGGTCACAGTCTGAGCACTGTGCAAGAATAATAAAAGATTAGAATCCATACTCTCTGCCTCCAAGAGCTTGTAATTTTAGTATCAGAGGCAAGATAAACACGCAAAGGACACTAAAGAACAAAGCTGCCATACAAACGTGCAAATTAACGAACATAATGCAAATTGAACACTTACGTGCTGAGGAAATAAAGAATTTATTTGCCCAGTGAAGTTCTTGGAAGAAGTGTAGTTAGAACATTGTTTAGGTAGACAATAAATAATTGTGAAGATAAGAAACACCAAGACATCCTCAGTTAATCTATAGACATACTCTTAGGTTCATTTTTAAATACTATAAAATTACGAACTAGTAAAAAAGGCAGTTTACTAAGGAAAGTAGTAATTAATATAATAAGGTGGTTTGAATTTTTTAAAAATTCTTATTAACATGGATATCAAGATTCTTTCCTCTTCTTGTTATCATTATCACTAAGATCACTGTTGCTCAGTATTTTTCAACCAGAACTGGGAGCTGGCTATACCAAGACAAAAACTAGCATCATGAATATAGCCAGTCTCTAAACACATAACAGCTCTACCAACAAAGTCAAGGCCAGACAGGAAAGACAAAATAAGGAGAGTATAATCATGCTCACTAATATACAAAGGTAAAGTATATTTTCTAAAAGCCAGAGATCATGATCAATGGCACATATTTCCATACATACAACAGGAGCTTTCAGGTGGGTAAAGCACACAGGCTGTCAGGTATTATATTCATGATGATTTGTTCTGAGAGTCATGTTCCTGTTGTTGCAAATTAAATGCAAACACATAGTCCTTCAGTCCATATCAGACGCTTTGTTATGCTGCCTGTGTTTTAATCAGATACAACAGTAATAACCAGAGTCAATGCAGACTCAATCTCCTCCTCCACATGGGGGTCCCTCTGTCACTCTGGAAGTATCCCCAGGCAGCTCTAAGATATGGAATCTTCACTCAATTTCTTGTCCCTCTTATTTTAATCCATTCAAAACTCCTCTGATAAAAGAGCAACTGCCAGACCTGAGACACTTAAGTCTGTCTTTGGGGAAATGAAATTGATTTTCTTCATTTTCACACAAGAGGATCCCTGGGTAATAACATTGTGTCTGGTCATACCAATAAAAAAAAAAATGTAGGCAACGTTCTTTACTGTACCAGAGGCTGAACGGTTTTGTGAAGTTCCTACAGTGGAGGTAAAAATTCAGCCTTTTACTCTTAGACCATAAGTTTCACAAGTATAAGAGTAACTTCTGACCAAGAGACTAAGTGCTTTGGTGCCTCCCCATCTGCTCCCAATCAGCCACAGTGGGAGATCAGATGGGTCATGGGTGAGGGGCCAGCCCCACATTCTCCATGGTGTACACTCACCTTATTCCTTCCCTTTTCTTCCTGAGCAAACAAACTAATCATGTTCTACCTTTAATCTTTTGACTTTAAGGTAAAGAATATCTAAGGGCAATTTCCAGTGAGAAAACTACAACAGAAAAAAACAGCAGAATTTTGGGGCCCTTTAACCACCTAAACAAATTCACTAATTTGTATAGGCTTTACAAAATTTCAGAAATTTTAAATGATGGATTATACCTAAAGGGAGAATATGAAATATTAAAACTGTAGCTTTTTGATATTTTTAAAAGACAACAATATTAAAGGCTGCAATACATAACAAAAATAAAAGCGGAGGTGCTCTGGCTGAAGAGAAGCTCTGAGCCTAGAGCCCCACTAGCTAAGCCTCATTTGCCCCAAATGCAACCCCACTTGAAACACCCGTTCTGTCAAACCCCATTTGTTAACCACTAACCTACAGAAAAAACAGATAATCAGAACATGCACACTGGCATTCAAAAATCTCCTCCGGCCCTGGCCATTGCCAAGGAAGACTCCAGAAATCTCTCTCATGGCTTTCCTCAGAAGAATGCACCCCTAACAATAATTCTGCTTTCAATGTTTCACAACGAATATGACCATTAGCTGTATAGCACAGAGCTTAAAAAAATTCCACTTCTCAAATGTTCCCTGTCCCTTCTCATTCATTCATGTGTGTACTACATATATATTATACAAGATATGTTGTATAAATAGTTCCACAACACACTGTAAATATTAAGATGCATAATTTTTCCATATTTTCCTAAGTTTTTTACTTGGGATATGTTTAGTAGTTGACACCCTGAAAAACTCTTTTTTCAAGATGAAAAAATGCAGTTCTGCTTCTCAAAGTCCAATCCCCTTATACAAAAATAAAAATCATTTATTAACCACTGAGAACTAACCTGCAGACACGGGCTGGAAAATATAATTTCTGCCAAGAACGACACAGATACTGGGAATGGTCTATCACTCTAACCCAGTCAAGTTCATCCATTGACACTTCAATGAAGTATGAATAAGACCTGTGAATCAAAAGGAAAAAGCAGAAAAAATTACCATATTAAAATAACAATACAAAACTGTACTTTAATAAACTGTTAAAAGATACAAAAATACAGAATTCACTAATTACATTTTCTACATAATGAAATTCAAATAACAAAACAATGTTATGAGAGCATTCACCTACAATGCACTGAAATTATCTCTCAGGTTGTCTGTCTGCTTTCTCAAATCATAAGCTGCTTAAGAACAAAGGCCATCCTGTATTTATACTCATATCCCCAGGGTCCTACACAGTACTTGACACATCAGGCATGCAAGATATTTACTCCTTTTCAAACATGGTCAGGATGCCTCACCTATACCATATTAGAAGATACATGATGCTACGAGAGAGAGAAGAACAGAAAATAGAGAAGCAGGAAGTACACTTTCTCCCTCTACCTTCCCAGGCCAGGGTGTTCGGCCACCCCTCTAAGGAAGAAAGTCAACTTGGAATGGTTCCCCCACAGAGGGCAGCCTATCTCCTGCTGCCTACCAGTCTCGTACCCTCCCATACATACAAGCTACCCGCAAAAAAATAAATGACACCAGTCAAGGGATAATGCATGTTTCTTTTGGGTACAACTTAAAACTTGCCAGCTGATAATCTGGCAGTAATGAAAACAGCCTATCATCCTCCCCTAGTCAGCTACTCCGAACCATTACATGCAGGTCCCATCCTGAACAAATCTATATTCCCCTGTCATAAGCCAAATTTAAATCTGAGATGCAGTTATTACTTCTACTGTAATATCAACAGGAACAATCTTGGAAGATTTAGGTGACCATAAATGTCATCCTGCAACCCACAGTTGTGACCAGAAAAGGTCAGCTTATTTTGTGTCATCCCCTCATTTTCTTTGCTGTCCCCTCACTCCCATTCATTTTATCACTCAGTCTCAAACTGGTTATAACCTTTTATTGAACCTCTCTGGGTTATCAGTAACACAGGCTATAATTTTACAACACGTCAGAATCTTTTTGGCTTAAGATTCTGAATTTTTCACCTTTGCTTAGAACGGCAACAATTTCTGTAAGAAAAGAACTGTTATGTGGTAAAGTTAAATCCCTCGTGAATGTAATGCACATACTAACACAAAGTGGCCTATAAATATTTAACATCACAGAAACGATGACAACCACTTCGTTTCAAACATACTAAACTTTTCTTTTATTATTTTTATAATAATTTCACTGTTAGTTAAATGAGTGAAATACATAAAGCTTTTAGAACAGTGTCTACCACATAAAAGTAATGAAAGTGCTGCAAATACGTATTATTATTATTATACTGTTATTATTAATCAGAGACTCTTGGAAATGAGATATGTGGATTGGTTCCACTTTGCCAATTAAAAACATCAAATTATATCCAATAAGCTACATATTAGAAAATATATTCTTAATAAAAAGCAAACAGGAAAAGATAACCTGGGGATCTCACACACCCATGCACATGGGAAATGCTGACGCTTACTTCATAAAGCTTCCCTTCACACTGGGCTCAAATGGCCTAAAAAGCCAGGGTGGTGGCAGTGGTGCTAACAGAAGAAACACACTACCTTGTAAGGTTTGCAGGACACCATCATCATTACTATTTAAGCCCTTCATGCCCAGATCTAAAGAGGCATCAGTGGGGCACAGTTTCTGGGTATGCAGGGTTTAGGTTTATGATAAACAGCAATGAAGGAAACAGTTCAGTTCTTGTCGCCATACTGCTCTGGTACTTCTGCCATTATGGTTGAACCTAGAAGCCACAGTGGGTGAAAGCATCACAGTGGCTGGAAGAAAGGCAGAATTCTGAAGCCCCCAAGAAACTGAATGGGTTCCCAAACTGGATTAAATTTTCTCACAAATTTCTTTTGTTTTGAGGATAATACTTATCTACACACTAAAAGACAATATTTCTCTTTGCCATAGGGTAAAATGCATTTAAAACGTTATAATATCCAAAACTAATGAATCAAGTAAATAATGTTAACTCATGGTAGAATATAAAACAACTATTAAAAATACATTTTAGAGGAATATTTTTTAAAGGGTAGAATGTTCACAATGTATTAAAAGTAAAATTAGCTTTTTGTATATCTAATCCATAAAACTATGTTTGTGCAGGTTTCTGTTTTGTGTGTGTATGTGTCCGTGCATAATTGAAAAAAACACTAGCTAGGTACGTATGAAGATTAATAATCGGTAATGAGATTACTAGCAATTTTTATTTTCTTCTATGTGCTTTTCTATATTTTCTATGGTTTCTACAATAAACACATATTATTTTTATAAGAAGAAAAAAACAAAAAACTGTATTTCTTTTAAAGAAATGTACCCTTTAACTCTTTCCCCAAAACCAACCTTCAAGAGATAGCAGAATGATCACAAAGAGATAAACCATCATATCTATATAACAAAAGTAGATGACCACAAAGTTAAGTCATCTCAAATATAATGTCAGTTTCTAAGTCATGCTAATCACTTACCGACTATCTCGGTCCCATAGGAGTATCCGTACGTGATTGATAATGGACGGCTGACCTAGCTTAATCTCGATGCCAGAACGGCAGTCATCATCAATTGGGTGCCTTGAAAATCCATGATCCAAATCATAATTTTGAGTATCACCATCTAATAAGGCTGATTTCAGCTCCCCCTTTACAACTTGGGCTCCATACTTCATAGTTGCAATGTTTTCTTCTGGTACTACAGTTAAAAATAGAAAAAGCTAGGTTAATGGTTAAGTTATTCTATATTTTTTGAAAAAAAAATAATTCTAGCATTCCACTTTATTCTAGTATCTGCATTTAAGAAGAGCATAGGCAAGTTTATGGGACAGAAAATACAAAACATCTATGAGGATTAAGACACCATTCAGAGGCCACGTGCAGTGGCTCATGCCTGTAATTCCAGCACTTCAGGAGGCCGAGGCGGGTCACTTGAGCCCAGGAGTTTGAGACCAGCCTGGGCAACATGGGAAAACCCTGTCCCTATTAAAAATAAACAAACAAACCAGCAAAAAAATACTGTTCAGAGTTTAAATTTAATGTTAGTATCACAATCACAAAGTGCTTGAGACTAATGTTACTTTTCAAAAGTTAATAAAACTAGAAAAGGCATGTACTAGGACAAACAAATTGGCTCTGCTAAGTTCATTCTATTAGTAACTTAAATATCTACTAAACAAAAATAGCATGTAAGATGACCTGTACCTGCCATCTGGACTGAGGACAGTGTATAAAAGCAAAGCAAACAGGTCAGAAATCTGATAAAACAACAGAAAAAGAAAGGTTCCAATATAGCACAGCTGTTAGTCATACATGAATATGCTGAATCAATTAATCTGGCTTATAAAACAAGATTGTTTAAAAGAAGATATCTTTTTTTGCACTTGAGAATTTTTAAAAATGAAAATTGATAGTCTGTCATCAAAATCAGTATTATGGTTACTATTAAATCCCCTCCCCTCACCAACATTAGATTTATTAAGTATCAATTGTGACTGGGACTCTGAAGTCCTTTATGTAAATTATGCTTCACAGATCTGGAACCTGTCTTCCAGGTACTAACATTCTAAAACTGACACTTTCCATGGAAAGACAAGAGGCTGCAGAAAGATGTTAAGAGCTTGAAGAGTCAGAGATTAAACAGTGGCTTCACCTTTAGCCAGGTACATCACTTTAAAGAAGTTTCCCTCTCTCAACTTCCATTTCTCAATGGCCGGGGGGGAGACATGCCCCTCCCCCACCCCACATATCTATCCCCCAGGTGTTTCTGTTTAAGAATTAAATGAGATGATGTTTGTAAAGCATATTATGAGCTCTACTCATATATATATGCTTTTCAAAACATATAGCCATTACTATTAAGAAAACATATTAAAAAGCACATAATAAGAGAACTATGTAAGTTTACAGACTGTAAAAAAAATACCAAATTCTCACAGTACACACACATTTTGGCTGTGTGATTTGAATAGGGGAAAGTGTGAGCTATAATCGGGTTCTTGTTAAAAAGTAATTCATCATTGAAGATTTCTGGAAAAAAAAATTTTTTTAATTTCAAATCAAGATGAGTAAAGAGAGTGGCACCAGAAAACAACAATAAATTGCAGCTGAAAAATGGAAGTTTAAAATGGAAGCAAAAGACTGTAGCAACCCAGCAAAAATAAACAAAACATCCTAGTTATGCTTAACTTAACATCAGAAGTTTAAGTGCTATCGATTTATAACTTTCTAAATTCTATTAGCATGTGATAATCACCCATATTCTTCCTATTTAACAAATCTTCTATAATACATGATGTGCTAGACACTGTCCTAAGCACCTTGCAAATATTAATTCCTTTGATGTACTCCTCATAATAATCCTTTGAGTACTGTACTATTATTACATCCATTTCACAGATGAGAAGTGGAGGCAGAGAAAAGTTAGACAGGCTTACTTGCCCCAGGTCACAGAGCCAGCAAGTAGCAGAGCTGAGATTAGAACCCAAGCAGTCAGCCTGCATGGGCCCTGTGTTTTAACAGAATATTCTGCTACTTCCCTCTTGAAGGGTTTCTGATGAATGGCCATACCTTCTCCCTCTTTCTAACCCCCACTTCCCTCTAAAATTGCCTTAGACCCAGAGGAAAGAAACAAATAGTCTGATATAGGGAGGAAAAAAAAAAAAGTTAGACTTAAAGTGAAAAAACCTAAGCTTAAGATTCAGGTTCTATTATTCACTCCCCTTGAGTAAGGCCTGTCAGTCTCTCTGAATCTGCTTTCTCATCTAAAAAGAATACTTTGTCCAACCGACCTCATAGGGTTACTGTAAAAATTACAGTACGGATAAAAATTATACTACAGATAATATATGCTAAAGTAACATATAAAGCACTCATTCAGTTCCAGTCAAAGGGCATTTTTCTGAGGACTCATTCTGTACCAGGCACCATGCAAGGTTTTGGGAATAATTAGCGAACTCAACAGAGATAGGCCCTGCCCTCCTGACACCTCCGATCTAGAGAGGAAGTACTTTATAAGTAAGCAAGCAAACAAACAAAAGCTTGAAATCCATGCTTTTCAGATATCAATGATGCATAACTACTTGGTAAAAATAAACATGTTTTCCCTTCTTGCTAGGCATAAAAAGTGGAGGTGCAAAGTCTGTCGCTGCTGATCCCTGGAACCATCTCCTGCAGTCCTGACACCACAAGTCAAAACTAAGCCAAAGGCTGGGCATGGTGGCTCACACCCGTAATCCCAGCACTCTGGGAGGCCCAGGCAGGTGGATCGCCTGAGGTCAGGAGTTCAAGACCAACCTGACCAACATGGTGAAACTCCATCTCTACTAAAAATACAAAATTAGCCAGGTGTGGTGACGTGAGCCTGGAATCCCAGTTACTTGGGAGGTTGAGGTTGCAATGAGTTGAGACCGTGTCACTGCACCACAGCCTGGGCGACAGAGCCAAGACTTCATCTCAAAAATAAAAAATAAAAAAACGAGGCCAAAGACGTGAACATCAACCTCTCAGAAACTAATGCCACCTAATGCCACCTTTGGATTTTCTCTAAACGTAAGTTTCTTCAACATTAAAACTTATCAAGCTAGGGGTAACATACTAGGCACAAAAGTTTCAAGTGATTGTGACTAAAGTCTAAAATGGAAATGAAATTTCTACCACAAGTCTAAGTCTTCTTTTGAAGTTTATTTCAAGGGTACTTGAAAACTTTCCTGACCATTCTTGATACAGACAGATTCATTCCCTGAGAGTATTTTTTACTTCAAAACAGAGAACATCTACACAAGTGGAAATTCTCTCATGGTAACTATAATATGAGTATCTCATTGGATAAAAATATAACTCCAAGAATTTTTCTGCAAAATCCATAATTAAGTGATGAATATAATAGGAAGAATGATCATGAGAAAATTTAAATCATAATAAAATAAATCAAACTATAAATATTCTTAGCGGCTGTATCTATCAGTAGAGAAAAAAAAGTTCTTAAAAAAATACAAAGTGCCGGCTGGGCGCAGTGGCTCACACCTGTAATCCTAGCACTTTGGGAGGCCGAGGCAGGTGGATTACTTGAGTACAGGAGTTTGAGACCATCCTGGCCAACATGGTAAAACCCCATCTCTACTAAAAATACAAAAAATTAACTGAGCGTGATGGTGGTACATGCCTATAATCCCAGCTACTGGGTAGCTGAGACAGGGGAATCACTTGAACCTGGGAGGTGGAGGTTGCAGTGAGCCAAGATCATGCCACTGCACTCCAGCCTGGATGACAGAACAAAACTCTGTCTTGAAAAAACAAAGTGATAGAGATTAAACAAGATAGTAGATAATCATAATTTTTTACACATAATTTTTAATGCATTTTACAAGCATTAAGAAAAATATTAAGCTTTGAAGTTCTACAGCTAGGTAGAAATTGCTAATTATTAGAAAGAAAAGTTAAGGAGAAATGAAGCAGAACATACCCCTAGCTACACAGTGCCAAAATCTGCAAGGAGTGCTGGTTTAATTACCTCGTGCTTTTCTTTCACTGCTTTATGTTCTTAATTATCTTTTATCGAACTCCCTATTACATGTAGGTTGACATGGTCATTTGTCCCAGTGGATTATTTGGATCCAGACTTAGTTCTCTGCCCAAAGCAATCTACTTACCCAATTCTGTCACCTAAATTATTTTTTACTCCCCATCCCAACTTCCCTAGAAAATGTATGGATACTCCCTTCCTGTGAATAATCCCCAAGAACTGTAGCATTACAAGTGACTTACTTTACCATTCCTGTTACCTTAACCCCACCCCCACCCCGCCCCCGCTTTCCCACTCTCTGCAGGCCTCCTTTCCACATCTGACAGTACTGGTACTCAAACATACCACAAAATGGAAACAAAAAAGAACCCAGGCAGAAGAATCTATGAAGGAGTATTTGCCTGGTGAGTCACAAGACCAGCACTTTGGTTCCAGTTCTGGCACTGAATTCACTTGGTAATTTAGGCAAGTTACATAGATCACAGAGCTGAAAGGGACCTTCATCCTATTAAATAAAAAAAAAATCCTATGGTATTCCTATGTGCTGCTCACTGTACTAGACTCAGCTCTCCGGAGCTCACCACTCAGGAGACAAGAGCACATACACCAATACTACACACTCCCATGGAGGAATACTCATTAGAGATGACTTATATACCCCCTATTTACAGATGAAATTTTCTCTATCACAATAAACTATAGTTGGGAAGATACAAATAGCATCTTCTATCTTTGAAGATACAAAGTCAAAGAGTTTTATTTATTTTATTTGTATTTTTTTAGAGACAGGGTCATGCTCTGTCACACAGGCTGGAGTGTGGTGGCACAATTATAGCTCATTGCAGCCTCAAACTACTGGGCTCAAGCCATTCTCCTGTCTCAGCTTCCCAAGCAGCTGAGACTACAGGCACACACCATCACACCCAGCTAATTTAAAAAAACCTTTTTTAGAGACTGCATCTCACTATATTGCCCAGGCTGATCTTGAACCCCTTGCCTCAAGTGGTCCTCCTGCCTTAGCCTCCCAAAGTGCTGGCATGACAAGTGTGAGCCACTGCGCCCAGCTCCAAGAGCTTTGAAAGTATTAAAGGTTCACTGTTACTATTAGTGTCTTTATGTGATAGATGACACAAATTTAAATTCTAGTTTAGAAGCCAGGGATGGATTCATTCAGC